GGAAAACATTTAATATATTTATTGCTCTATTTGGTAAAGTATCAAATGAGCACATCTGATACCTCCCTGAGGAAAACTCTTCTCCCAGATTCCATTATGATTCTGCCTGCACTACCCCCCCCCCCCAAAAAAAAAGGGGGAAGAAAAAAAAAAAAAGACAAATTTGTGCAGATTAAAAAATGCTGAGTAACACTACACCCAGGGCATGTTACTGACAGACCTCCTATGAGGTTAGAATTAGCCTCTAAGTTCAGTGGCAAATAAATTTATAATGCTTTAAGATGACAGTATCCAGAAGGGTGACAGTTAAGGAGGGAACAGGACTCTACTCTTCCTCACTTGTATTTTCCAAGAAATACACACTGACTTTTAAAACTGGCCCTGACAGTGCTGCTCTTGGAAAGGAAATTATTTCTACCTGGACGGGTGTAACTGAAGACCTAATTTCAGGTACTCTGTGAGCAGTTCTTATTGAAGATGAATGACAAAAGTAAAAAAGGAGCAAGACTGACACTGCAGTTGTAGGCCCTGTAGAGGGAGTTCCAGTATGTGCCACAAAAAATTCCAGGTAAACAGAGATATTCCACCACTACAGCTGTTTCTGGGAACAGGATTGTGGAGCAACAGAAATACATGGCTAATATTTTGGACTCTGGTATATTCCCTGCTGACACTGAGATGCCAAGTAGAGGTGAGGAAGGGCAAGGTTGCAAATCCAGCTCTTTTGTTTTAAATAAAACCAGCATGAGGCAATAACTGTTCTGCTTGGCCAGAATTATGGGATCATAAAGCACTGTGTTTACAGACTATCCTGCCACAAAGGTGGAGTAACATCTCTACTGTGCTTAAACATAAAGGGATTTCCCAGCAAAAGGGAATTTCCAGCTTCCATCTCAGGCACAAACAGTCAGCAGAAACTCCCCTTAGCTCCATGGATCCACGTAATGCTGCAGAACTCTCTGCAAAGCACTACAGCAAGGGAAAAGACAAGTTTCCTACACAGAGAGTAAAGTTTATTAGGATAACTTGTAGAAAGGAGCTAATGCAATTTAATAACTCTAATGCTGGATATATATGAACATAGAGGAGGGCTTGAATGATGAAGCGGTGATGTTTTTTACTAACAGGAGGGATTTTCTTTCTTTGAAAGAAAAAGGTTAGAAATCTGAGAAAGTCTGCCTTCCTTTTCTCAGACCACAAAGAATGAAAAGTTAAGGGGCATTTGTCCTATAAATATTTAAGACTTGTATACCATTAAGAGCTGGCATGTCTTTTTGGAAAAGAACACCCTCAGTAGGGGATTTTTCCTTTGGCCTCCATTCCCCCCACAATGCTGGTACAAGAAGGGCAGACATAGACATTCTGATGTAAGGACGTTTATACCACAATAAGTCATGTTGTCTAACACTGGAAATGCCATGCTACTTCGACCTTGGAGTCTCCATGATATGGAAGCTGTACCTCTTTAGTATAGTGGCATAGTATATACTATTATCATATACTATGGTATAGTCTATTAAAATAAAACAACTTTATGCAGCTTTTGCTAATAGCAATCTACTTTTAGATAAATAGCAATTTATCTAGATTTATCTAAATCTATATAAACCATCCACTTCATCCCCAGTAAGTTTTCTCCATTTCTAATGCATCTTTTATTAACAAACATTATTGATGTGTAGGTGTTTCAGGATGCTCAAAGACTGATCAGAGCTCTGTGTAACTTCAGGGAAAGGGTAAAGAGTTTGGTAATTCAAAACACCTCAGGCAGAAAAGAGCATGGGAAGATTCTTTCCCACTGAGCTATATTGCAAAAGGCTACAGCAAGTAACATGGCATGAAAATGTGAATAAGAATCACAAAGGACAAGTAAGATGAAGGGCATGAGGGTTACACACACCATGGGAGGGATCCCGTGGCAGCACAAGGTGAAACTAACCACACTTGCAACAAGGAGGACCAGTACAAGAAAGAGCAAGTCTTTTTATGCAACTGAAAGAGAAACAAGGTCAGTGAGTTCAACGAGTTTATCTTACTCCACCACTAGATGCTTGCACTCGTGCACTGTTTTCACTTTTATTTACATAAGAAAGGTCTACAGTAGGTTACTCTTGGCAACATGCTCATTCCACAGATCTTGCCTGAGCATGTGGGAGAAAAGCATTTATTTTCAAAGCCTTCAAGTCATCAAATTCTTACGAAATCCTTTTCTCTTGAAGGAAATCACACTGGCTCAGACCTAACAAGCATTATTCAGCTAATCCACCCATGGAAATAACCAAGGTTTAGGTTATACCCTTTCATAGTAGGATCATTATGAAATGAGAAGACAGCTGACTTAGGAAACAGCAGGACAATGACTAGAGATGAGAGTTTTTTCTCTAAGAGATACTTAGAATGAGATTTATGTTTTCACATCAGTTAATAATAACATAGTTCTCCAAGGAGAATTTTTGTGACTAACTTTTTCCTCAGTGGGAAACAAGTCATACTTACGCACCAAAATAAAATGTAAGTCAGTGTGAGGGCCACTCAAAATATTTTATTTTCTATTCTGTTTTTTCTATTAGTTTGTGACAGGAGTTTTGAAATGAGCAGTCATTCTGATAAAAAAAACACACCAAAACCAACCCGAAAAACAACCCAGAACTTTTTCATTCAGTAAATACCCCTTACAGAATATTTTGATACATTAATTGTTAAGCTAGAAACCTGCTGCAGTCTCTCCCACAAGTAGCTGTAACTTTCTTACATTTATTCAGCAAAAAGCAGTTATTGAAAGAGAGCTCCCAAGCTAGCTCTGCTATGAAATGAAGCTGAATGCTGTCAGTGTAAACTCCATCTCCATAAGTAATAAAGGAGGAACTCAAGCTTTTCCTTCTTGCAGACAGCAGGGCTGCTATACTGTTTTCACCTATGATGGACAAAGTCAAGGCTGAGAGAGAATGGTGTTGGCGTATGTGCTAAGACTTGAATGGAGTATGCCATATTTCAGCTCTTCTTAATAAGGCCTAGTTTCAGGAAATCAATAGGAAACTTTTAAAATATACACCCATTCTTCTGTTGGGTGTTGTTTTCTATTGTCCTTCATGGATCCCCTTTGGAATGGGCTACCATGGAGGATGGATTCTCCAGCAGCTGCAGGATTGGATTCTTCCTCATAGCATAGTGGAGACCTCTTAGCAGCTTTCCAGTATCTGAAGGGAGGCTATAAGGATGCTGGGGAGAGACTCTCATTAGGGACTGTCGTGATAGGACAAGGGGTAACAGATTCAAATTTAAACAGGGAAAGTTTAGGCTGGATATAAGAAAGAAATTCTTTACTGTAAGAGTGGTGAGGCACTGGAATGGGTTGCCCAGGTGTCGTGGTTTAACCCACAGTTGTGAATGCTCCATCCCTGGCGAGGTTCAAGGCTAGGCTAGACAGAGCCTTGGGTGACATTGTTTAGTGGTGTCCCTGCCCACGGCAGGGGGATTGGAACTGGATGATCTTAAGGTCCTTTCCAACCATAATTATTCTATGATTCTATGATTCCTCAGCAGCAAGGGGTTCTAACTAAAGTAAAGACATCCACTCTGTTCCATGGATTGTTCCTATATTTTTCACTATAATGTTCATTGGATGACATACAGAGTTATTCATGGTTCAGGCATTAGGAGGCTTGTGGGAGACATGAATTTAGATGCCATCAGCAGAGAAATGAACATCAGCCTCCTGTATTATCAATTAAGTGTCTGAAGAACAAGGCCATTGTATGCAATCAGGGCATTAGGATTTACGAAGAATAACTTGAGAAAGAAAGGTTATACATTTTGCCTTCAGGAAATGGTTTTGAACTTTGGACTCCAAACTGGTCTGAGAAAAGGTTCAACAGTTTTGGCTGCCTGAGACTGAACGTGCTGACCCTAGACACCTCCCTGGTCACAGCAGTTGCCTTTCTGGAGATCCAAACTCTCCCCAGACACTGCTCAATGAGCTGCAGACTCTACCCCAGCTTTCCAAATTCCTTTCCAAAGCCAGACACATTAAAAACACACCAACACAGGGCCCTGAACTCTCTGCACCCAGGCACTTCCTTTGGGTCTAACCCCATAGCTCACAGAAGGGCATAGCAGAAAGATGAATCACAGCAGAGTACCTGAAGATGTTTTCAAACACCTTTCTGACTTACACTGCAGGCTTGTTGCCATCCCCACCTGACACTGCCACCACAGCGCACCACGGGGAAAGATTTGTAGCTGAGGTGTATTTAAATACAGGTACTGGAGATGCTGATTGTTCCTCAGAAAGGTCTCGGCAGACCCAAGCGGGGTCTCAAGGACCCTGGGTCGCTGTTGGCAGCAGCTTGGCCAGGCTGTGGCAGCGCTGGTGCCTCCAGCAATCCTGCCAGCCATGACCCCTCCTGTCGCTCAACATCCACGTGTGCCTGGGCCCAGGTTCTTGGACCACGGGCCCTGTACGCACTGCAGCTGGATGCCAGAGCACACAACACCCGAGCTGGGAGATGTGATGATCTGCTTTGGGTTTTCTTTTTGTTTTGTAGCTGTGAGAAGCTAAATACAGTTCAGCATGTGAAGGTAATCATGCCGCATAAATGCTAGCTACCCCTGTTCCTGTTTAGAAACTGTCAATCAGCCTTTTCAGGAAAAGAAACCCAACTTATTTTTGCTTAAAAGACCCTCTGCAGTGATTTGAACTTGAAGGCCGCTCACACATCCGTTTCCAGAGAGGCGGTTGGTCTGCCTGGTGAGGGCTGAGGACGGCTCACAGGAGTCCCCTGCTCAGGGGCCGCCCTCCCTCAAGAGGCACCGTGCCGGGCCCGGCTGCCCTTGCGGCGTCACCGCGGCTGGAGGCCCCGGCAAGAGATCCGGCGCGCGTCCCATGTCTCCCTCTGGCGGCAGCGCTGGCAAGCCGCGGCCACAGCACTCCTGCCGGCGGAGCTGGGCTTCTGCCACTTTAAACAGGACGTACCAAGCGCGGCGGGATGGGCTGAGGTTTACTGTGTGCCCTGTGGTGCCTCCGAGCAGCCCGCCGGGATGGGGCGGTGGGGAGGAGGAGAAACGCCGAGCCGCGGAGGGCCGCATCTGCTGGGAGCTTTCCTTCGTTTTTTCTGATTTTCCTAAGCCCCCGCTCCTCCTTTGTGGGCAGGACGAATGGGTCAGTCCTACCATCATGGCCGCCACCATGAAGAAGGCGGTGAGTGCGGGAGGAGGGAAGGGTGCGTTTTCGTTTCTCGGTCTCTCCCTGCCCCGTGGTTCCGAGGAGGAGGAGGGTCCGATGAGGAGGTTCTTCCGAGCAGGAGGTTCCTCCGAGCCCCTGTGCTGCCCCCCGGGCTGGGCCTGCCGGGCTCTTCATCTGTGGGGGGCCGTCGTCTCTCGGTGCTGGGGCGGTGCGGCCTTGTCACCTCCGCGCTGTCTCCCGCCCCTCGCTCCGGCACCGCAGAGGTGCCTGTCTGAGCGGCTGCCCCACGTTCACTCAGCCCCGGGCGGCAGGACCTGGTGTGTGCGTGTCCTTTTCCCTAAGCCGCTGCCAAGTCCGGCCAGCTCCGGGTTAGGCCGTGCCGAAAATACCCTGATCGCTTGTCTGTGAGTTAAGGTCTTGGTATTGTAAGCTTGGCTCTATTGGTCAGGAGTTTGGAGCATCTTTGGCCTGTTTAGAGAAGAAGAAACTTGAGAGAGAATCTTGTTAATGCAAGTCAGTATCTGAAAGGAGGATGATGCCAGGCTCTCCTGTAGCACTGCAGCACATCACTGCTAACCAATTATCATAAAATGATGTTGCTCATGGATCTCATTAATGTGTTACACTCAGCTCTGCAGTGATCATGGAGCAGAGGTGTCCGTTTCAACTGTCAGTGCTGTAAAGGAAACAACAATTTGGATGCCGTGGATAGCTGGTATTTTAAGTGGCTGTTACTACAGCCTGTGCCCAGTTAAACGAGGGTATTGCTGATATCCTTGAGGATGCTTTTCAAGAAATCAAGTGTATAAGCAGAATCTAAAACTGTTTTTCAGAAGATCTGTAAGAGTAATCTTGTCGTCAGATTCAAGTTAATGTAAGAAATAAAGTTCATATTGACCTCTCCTCCTGGCAGGCTGCAGAAGATGTCAATGTTACTTTTGAAGATCAACAGAAAATTAACAAGTTTGCAAGAAATACTAGCAGAATCACGGAGCTGAAAGAAGAAATAGAAGTGAAAAAGGTATATTTGCTTCAAATATCACTTCTTCATTACCCTAACTTAATTTTCAGCTGTAACACAGGAAACAGGAGCAATGGAATACTGCAAGTAATGCTTTGGTTCTAATACTGGATTTCTGATATTTTGAAAATAGAGAAAGTTAAAGTGGAGAAAGAAGTCATGAGAAATAAAGGCCACCAGTATATTTCTGTATGCAGTTCATGGAACTCTGTAGTTGTCATGTGCGCAACATTGTCTTGTTACAATGGCTGTTTGTAGTGTTTGTAAAATTTCCTGCCTGTGATTGTTTATACTTATTTTTTCTGGAACCAGTAAGGCAGTTGTATGTTATGTTCTTCCTTTGATGCACTGACAAATTGAGGGTCTGTATTTTCCTTGTCTAGACAGTTAATTACGCTATTAATGACAGATAATGAGTAATGACTAGAAATTTCTACTGGTAGAATGAATCTAATACTTATGCTGAATTACAGCTCTGGAACTGTACTGTTAAACACATTGATATCATGCTGGCAGGTAGGATTTTTCCTCACAATACAGGCTCGCTGACTTCATTTTACTCAACTGGTAACATGACAATGTATCCATTAAAATCATTTATCTGGTATGAAGTGACCACCTTTCTTATATCTTGATGAATAGAAACAACTTCAGAACTTGGAAGATGCTTGTGATGACATCATGATGCTTGATGATGGTGATGCACTACTGATACCCTACCAAATTGGAGATGTTTTCATTAGTCATTCCCAAGAAGAGACACAAGAGATGCTGGAGGAGGCAAAGGTTTGTATGGGCAAAAGGGAGCTCCTATACTGTACTGCCTGCTGTGGTGCGATGAGCATTGGAGTGGGATAATCTTTCCATCCTTAAACCTCTTACTTTCTAAAGTTCATGTTTGAGTTCTGATTTGAGGAGGGGAATGTGCATGCATGGCAAGTCCTAATTGCCACGTCAGTATACGAAGCCTTTGTTTTGCCTTGTAATGAATCTTACAGCCTGACTTAGCAAAAAATTGTCAAAGAGTACCTCTTAATAGTTTGTATGTTGCAGGCAGACATGACTCAATTTGGATTAATGTAACTGGTTGATTGTTTTTTTTCTTTTTCAGAAAAGTTTACAAGAAGAAATTGATGTGTTAGAAGCCCGAGTGGAATCAATTCAGAGGGTCTTATCTGACCTGAAAGTTCAGCTTTATGCAAAGTTCGGAAATAACATAAATCTTGAGGCTGAGGACAGTTGAAGGTCTTCTAAATATACCATACAACTTTTCCTTGGTTTAATAAATATTTTGATATCATTGTTCCAATTACATTTAGAACAAAATCCGACACTTCTTTTTGTTGTTTTGTTTTGGTTTGGTTTTTTTTTACTTTCCTCACTCGGGTTCCATCTATTTAATGAGAGCTTTCTTATTTTGGCTATTGCAGTTATTTATTTGTTCAGGAAAGCATTAGCTTCATTAATGATGATAAAGCATCAAGATTGGGATATTTGCATTGTATATGAAATTAATAAAATCAGGCACGTATTGTAGTTTCTTTGGTCTTGTTTTCCACTCATGAAAGTGCTTAAATAGAAAACCAGTATAAATAGGGAACTTTTGATTTGCCGTGTAATGGCTGTTTGATTGTATAAGAAGTTTCTCCTATACATGATTCATGATTTGGTTGTAATGCTATTTATTATAATTTTATTTATAATGCTGGTTTTAGCTGCACTCCTGGAAATACTAAGTCTATCCTTTGTCTTTCCATCTTAGTTCAGATAGCATACACACTGTTAGCTCAGTGCACAGCATGGCAACAAATTGACAGGGGAGAAAGGAGATCTCCTTAAAACCTGCATTGGTATTGAAGAAAAGCTTTTGGAGTCACAGTCATATTCAGTCATTTACTACTTTGTATTCGGCAGTCACAAAAGATGCTGTAACTCAGAATGGTGAGTCTTTAATTTCTAATTTTCCTGAACAGTAATTTTCTAATCCACATTTCTGTACCAGATTAATGTCAGATAGTTCATAGATGCTGTTGCTGTGTCAGCATCAATCCCTGGAGCTACACCTCCATCACTATGTGAAGTTAAAAGTAATTTTTAAATGTCTTAATTTGCTGACTCCTTACATCCTTCAAATAATTATGTACTGTCTCACTCTAAAATTCTGATTTTGGACTTTCGCCTACTGATAAATGCTGTTCCATGGAAATACCTGCTGTTTATGAATTTGGTCTTAAAAATTAAATCTTAGCATGCTGGGAGTGTTGGGATGGGTTGATGTCCACCTACCTCAGCACATCTATTTTAAAGCTTCCTTGATCAGCATGGCAAATCTCCTATCAAAGCCGCAAACCAGCGCCACTATCTTCCGGTAGACCTGGCCTCCCAGATCCAGTCCCATGTTCTAAATAAATATCTGACTATGGCAGCACTGTTCTAACTATTTATTAACCTGCCAAATCCACCTGGCCTTTTTTAAAGGTTCTCCCTTTGGCCTGGAGATCTGATTAAAAAAAACTGTCTGAGCTCCAGAGCCCCTAACCACACCTCCCAGGGCACCGTAATCCTTAATGATTCCCAGGCTACTGCTGTCAATACCACTAGCAGGATTTAGGAGACCAGGCAGCTTCTCTAATCTGAGCTGCTGGTAGGCAACACACCTCCCTCAAGACTGGGTCAGGCCAACAGATGGATGCCTCTGTGCCTTTCAGAGTAGGATCACCTGCTACTATGACCTGCTACTTTTTCCTGGAGGCACTAATAGTAATCCTCTTTACTGGTGCATCAGCAGGATGTTCATTTGGTGCAGTGGGCACTTCCTTGTTAGCCCCCTGCAGAACTGTGAAGGAGCTCTGGGTAGAGATGTTGGATTATGGAGGAAGCCCCTTGCTTTTAATTGTCCTCTTCCTCTTTTTGTTGTTTTTTGTTTTGTTTGTTTGTTTGGTTTGGTTACTGGTTCTCAGCTTGTTTGGATTAATGCCCTCCTTCTTTTCTGTATGCACTATGATGCATGCTTGTGGCCCCTGCACAGTTTGGGCCTGGAGCAAGCAGTACAGCTCCCTCTCAGCTTTCCTGACACCTTTCAGCTACTGACAGTCTCCCACAGCTCAGCCACCTGCTAGAGGAGGGCGTCCACCAGGGTGCACCGAGTGCACTCCATCCATTTGTACACCCTTGCCTCAAGAGACCAGTTGAGGCACTTTCTACACTCCCAGGTCTGTGCTGCAGCCTCCCCTCTCATCAGTTTTGTCTGGGTGCTGATGCTGTCCCTCCTGGTGCTGCCCTCTCTGAGTCAGCTGCTCACATCAGCTGAGCTGCTGGCTCCTGGGCAAGTCTTGTCAAGGACTTGAGGCTCCCTCGGTGGCTCTTGCTTCTCAGAATTGAGGCTACTGGATGCTGTGTATCCCTCGTTCTGGTGTTGAAGGTGTTTTCTCCGGAGCTACTCACCTCTGCAAATGATTATTTGTTCTTAATATAAATAATCAGAGTATGAGATTAGTATATTTTCATGAAGTGATTAATACCTACTTACATGCGTCAGTTGCATGGCATCTTCAAACTGTAAACCTGGAGGAATCAAAAACAGCACATGCTTTCTCTACTACTGAAGTAGTTCTAACAGAGTAGTGATACTGAACTTGATATTCAGTATGTCTGAACAGGATTTCACCAGTGCACTGTTACTTAGGAATTACAGTATTATAACTTACATAGTTGTTTACATAAATTTGTTTAATGTTGAATAAGGTTTAGCATAACCTTAAGAGAGTATTGCTTTTGACAGGGGAGATCTAACTCCTCAGCACAATCACCTCTGTTGCATACAATGTGTATCAACTGGTGGCTCCAAGTTTCAAAAGCTGTGCTAATGTTGGGCTTGTCTAGCCCTGGCATTTCCCATATTTCTTTTTGGTAGAATTCCAGTGGTTTGTATGCTTCTGCATACAAATTCCCTGGCCATAACTGTACAGATTTTTAACTTTGTTTTCTGATTGTGGTTTTAATTTAAGTCTCTGCCTCAGGAAAGAGATCAAGTTTTTTGTTACTTCCTGAGTGAATACTTAGTTACTCTCAGGTAAAATGTGGATTGGGTAGCCATGGCAACTCTGCTGCTCTATCTGCCAGCCAGTGCTTGTAGCAAACAAGTGTTGGGCCTTCAAGGAGACACAGGTGTTCCTTTACATAATTTCTGAACCCTCCATACAGTTTCCTATGTTAGGTATCAAACTGCTTAGAAAAGTTTTGGGTTGACCCAAAGTTGTTATTTTAGGCAATAAAGAGAGAAGAAGATGTCCAGTTATTTGATAGAAGCCGATGAGACTTGTGGATGACTTGGGTGAGTCAGTTCTGCCTTATCCTCTTTTATTAGATACAGCTCTTAGTCCAAAACTGTGAGCAAGGTTAGTCTTAGGAACTGTTGGTATGTTGAGGTTTTTTTTCTAAACGCTTGTCGTATAATTATAAACCAAACAAGATGTAAAAGACTTCTTTAACCAGGTGAGAACTGGACTAGTGATGGAGTTAGACCCATAATGAGAGGCATCCAGCAGATGGCGTCAAAGAACGCGGAAGCGCTTTTTAAGGAGCCAGAGCCTCAGCCCTAAGTGCCAGTGCTGATGTTAGTAGCATGAAACTTCGGCTGCAGTGATCCCATTCTCATTGATTGGTTGGTACACTTTAAAATTCACTCCAAAGTGATTGCTGTGCCAGCTCTCCTGTTGTGAGCATGCTCATGGCTGTGCAGACTGCAAGTATTTAAAATGATGGTTTCCAGAGAGGCAAATAGTATGAATGCAGTTTCATTATGAAAAGGAAAAAGGTAGCTAGTAAGGCTTAACTAGGATTCCAGTGGCAGCTATAAGACCGATGAGGACCATAGTACAGTAAAGGACCCTAAGGGAGAATGCTAGCGAAGTGTGGAGAGCTTGCATTATCCCTGATGTTCTTCCTATAAATTGAATTGTGCATATATGACAACCCTGGTGTTTAGGGAAAAGAAGCCTGTTAAGACTATTCTTATGAATGCCAAAGGTCTTTACTCTTTAGTGCTGGATTTTGGTCCAGTGGGGTTTGTTTTGTGACCCCACCCCTTTATTTTCTTCCTTTTTTTACTGGTTATCATGGTGTTGGTATGTTTTAGATAGTTTCACTAGGCCTGCCTTCACTACTGTAGTTTAGGCTTTTATGTTTATGATGCACCTTTCCTGTTTGCTTAGTCCTTACTACAAATTGTATGTCCACACAGCCTTGAAAGTGTAAGTGCCTTTTTGCACATGCAATGTCCAGTTTTCTGGTATGGTTTGGAGAGTTGTGTTTGCAAGTCAGGCAAATAATTATCCAGCAGACTTTTTCAGATTAGGGTCTGGGTTTTTGTAGTTTAGAGAACTACTATCCCAGACAATCATTTGCTATTTTTATATGCGTAAAATAGAACATGCAGGAAACTTCTTTTTTTGTTCTTCATTTGTCATTGTAGAAGTTAATTTGCAGATCATCCATCAGCTTGGAAGTATCTGAGTCCTAGTTTTTTCTTTTAATAACCTTTCTTCTCCCTAGGGAATATATGAAATTGTTTTTCAGTTGGCATTTATTCTGTTCAAAGCCCCATCTTCTAAGTACTTTTTATTTTTGGTAGATTGGAAATTTCTCTTACCTGTAATGATGGTTGCCTTCAGAGAATATAAGCCCATTAAAACCCCCTGGTCCTCTGTGCACCTCTGTACATGTCATAAATCATTTAGCTGCACTTGACTATAGATTTTTTAATATTGTTGTCAGAATGCAAATAGTTTACTGTCATTCTCTGTTTTGTCAAGGGAGAGATATTTGTAAAGCACTTGAAAAATTAAATGCACTATAAAAGAGGTTTAATTTTAATCTAAGGGCTTCGTGTAGAGTGTTGGGCCAATGATCTCTTATGATCTCTTAGTGACTGAATTAGCTCCGTCATTGTATTAAAATACCATTTCCATGCTGGTTTTGTTTTGCGAGTCATAGCCACCAGTGGCTGGCTTCTCACTTGGTTGCAGCAGTCAAAGCAGGTGAAAGAAACCTCATTTCAGGAGGTCAAGGAACCTTAACTTACCAGTTTTCAAAGTAGCTTGCTAAAAACTGTTAAACATAGTAGGACACAATTATATTTTCATGGGCTTGTTTGTGATTCTGTATCTTGTCCGCTGATACAAAAATGTTTTCCACATGATGGTCTCTAGCATAATCTTCTTCTGTAGAACCTTCATTGCTTTTGTATAGAAGATCCTGGGATATCATTGCGTTATATATATATAAATGTGGTTGATAATTATTCAATAATTATATGAAGTGATGTTTAGCCAAAGTACAGAGAATTTTGTGGTATCAACTATCACAAAGAGCTAAAAGAAATTGAATTCTGAATACTGAAGCCATATTTTTCTGTAGAAGCAACAGAATTAAGTAGTTTGGTTTGCATGAGTCAGTAGTTTAGATAATTTATCTATTCTACTAGACTGATTCATGAAAGAAAAAACAAGGATATATATAGGCATGATAAGGCCTGA